TTCCATTCGAAGTTAGGATTTGACTTGACTTGGTGATTCCAATATTAATTAGTAAGGAAGGGTAAGTCGAGTGGCGGGCTTTTTGGATGAGAGCAGAGTCACCATGCAACACGTGGGGTGTCCTATCTATTCAACTATTACCATTCTAAAGTCTGAATGCCTTATTCTTCAACAAAACGCTTGGAGGGACTCTCCTCCTTTTCAGTTTTTCTAGGCTTACTTTTCCATTATTATTATTTTTTTCAACTTTTACTCGTAGTTTCTGTACTCTTGATTGGGTCAGCCCTGTATGCAGAACAATTCAAAAAGCATTTTTTATTTTCCATATACATTTCACCATGCATACAAGTAAAACTCTTGTATTATCAAAGACATGCTTTGAAGTAAATATTGAATATATAACTCATTCATGTTATATTAATCAAAACACTCAGTTATTATACATTGAAAAGAAATTTATATATAAAAGAATTAGAAGAAAAAAGTAATACTAGTAACAAAACAAAATTTATTCTATGCCGGAATGAGTGATAGGCCTTGAAAGAAATATTCATTTTTCGCACAGTTCTCGGAAGGCTAAAAGATAGTAAAACAATAATGATTTTGTTTCCAATGAAAAGGGTGAAACATTTGAATATCTTCTTTTTGTCTCTTCAATATAAAGCAGGAAAACAAGAATCATAAAAGTTCTTTTTGACAAGTGTGACAAGCTAAGGGACTGATAAGTCAAATATTTTGTCTTGTTCATACGTAAATTGAGACCTTGTAATTAATCATGTGCTTATTACTAAAAACATTATTCTATTAAAAAAAACTTAAAAATCAACAAAACAATGATTTAAAAGGGTCGAACGGGCAGAAAATTTACAATTTTATGATGACATATCGATTTCAAGGTACTTTTGAAAGTTGTTCAAGCGTCTTTAGTCAATACGAACGGCAGAGAAATATACAGTAAAAATCATTTGAAACAACAAAAAAAAACACAAAATTCATGTTTGTAAATGCATTAATTGATTTCGTCTTGACGCTTGATGCAGACCCTTGGAGATCTTGAGGAAATAAAAACCCAGAAAAACGAGCCGTTTTCCGTTTCCAGGGTTTGGTAGGTTGAACAGGAAAAGTTTAAGCCGTAACACCAACAGTATCAAGAGAAGATCTCTAGAAGGTGTGAATTTTCCTTGTATTTTATTTGAAAGGAAACTGGTGGTGACTGCTAATTAGCTGCTCCTTTCCCAGTGGTTATTAATTTCTTATATAAAATAAAATGTTTTGGGTCGACTCCAATTTTAATTTTTAATCTCGTAACGAATTTCTTTCAACAATGTAATTTCGAGATGGTCTACAACACTATCATATATTAATATAGTAAAAACTTGAGATGTTAATTAAAATAATCTGGACAAATAATTGGAAGAACATTGTGACATTTTGTTTTGTATAAAACTTATAGTATTTTCAAATATTTGATTTAATAATAAGTGTATATATTTTTTATCTTAAAATTTAAATTTGAATTTTTCTTTTGTAAAATTTAAAAAATTTATAATCCTTTTTTAAGCATTCTATATAGATATATAAAACCATTGTAATTCAGTTTGTAGTTTTTTCATCAATATATATATAATCATAAGGTCATTTTACATGTTATTGGAGTAATAATTTAATTGTAATTACATCTTTTCTAAAAAAAAAGGGATGTTAAATTTAAATATATTCTCTCCAACTCTTTATTTATTCAAAATCTATAGTCTCTAACTTAATTATTATTTAAAAGACAATATTACCAGTAACTATTTAAAGAGAACCTTGAAGATAATTATCCCCTTCTTAAATATTAAAATTTTAGTATTTTAGATTAGAGACTTCAGTTGTTAATCTTGAAAGAATAAGTGAGATGTTTGATCTTGTTTTTGGAAGTAAAATATGGTTGCCTCCATGCTATTTAATTTGGTGAAAGTTTATACATAGAAATATAAAAGCAACAAACTTACTTGGACGAGTAATTAAATGCCACGATTTTCTTTCTTCCATTGTGGAAAGGGGAAGAGGGAAATCTGTGGTCAAGAAAAATTATTATTGAGCAGTGTTTAATCACTACATCACCGGCTAGTGCTACCCAGCACTGTCCACAGAATATAAAACTCAGTCAAAGATTTCTAGGGAGACTGACGTCCATAAAATCCTTTTTAAACGGATTTTTAAAATATAAAAAACCACCATTTGCAATTACCAGACTGGTCCTGACAAGCGCTTTGATGTTGACAGGCTGACAGCAAACAAACGGCTTCAGTTCTTAACCTACTCCAAATCCTAAATGTTCAAAATCAATACTTCTCCTCCTATATATGCACACCTCTAATCCTTTTCTTGATTGCAGTCGTAATGATCTATCTTGTTAATTTTGAATTACGTTTAGGAGATGTGAACGGTGTCTTGTTAATTTCATAATAGTTTTGTGTTTTATTTCTCACTATTACATATAATGAGATTAATAATTATTGTTTATCGTTTTATAACCTGCTATTGATCTTATGTCTTAATTTATGAACTTAAATTCTATATTGACTCTGTTCAGTACATAAAATAACGTAAGATAACTGAATGGAAGCTTGATACATCAAATTAATTCCTTTGGCCAAAACATAAAACTGAAAGCATGTGCTAAAGCAAAATTATGTTCCAAAAGAGTGCAGTATCTGTTCTGTTCAATTACCCAAATTAGCATCAGAACAGCTCACCTATTGCCCTATAATGCTGTTGTAATTGGTAAAGTGTCTAAACACTGTTGCCCCCCTCCATCTCAACAACTTTTGCATATGCTACTAAAGATAAACTGGCACGTTGCACATGACTCGCCCAATTTATATCTTTTAGTGCGATTCACTCACCAAACACATCATAATTTTTCTCTTTTAAGATTCACATGGTAAAATTTAAAAATACTGTTAAAAACCTTCTTGCAACCTCCATGTAATCAAATGTGAAAGTTCATTGAGACTTCCTTTTATATATTTAGTATAAATGTTCGATTTTTCTCATCCTTTTCTTTGAATTTTGTAAAACTCATCATTCTCAACCATTGAGTCTGAATGACTATGATAAACTCAAATAAAACAAAAGTAAACTGTTCTTTTCCTAGACATAGGCAGAGGACAAAATGATTTCAGCATGCATTTACCATTCAAATTAACGATTTCCGAGGTTTAATTTGCATGACCAACTTTTACCTGTACTCTCTCCTTCAAGAAACCAAATTAGGACTCAACACTAAATTGGGTTACAATCCCTACAACACATTCTAGTAACAAGCTACAGCCTTGAACAAAAACTGGGAATTCACAAGAATTAAGGCATCAATTTTGTAAATACATCACCCCAAGCTGAACTCAACTTCAAGACCCTAGAAATTAATGATCCTGCATATCTATTTCTTCACAATCTCATGAGACTCAATCATTTGGTCCTACAAATTGCATGCCGATCCTTCAAGAAATCATATATTGAAGAAGATAGAATCAGCAGGAATCAAAAAGAACGAAAAAGAATTGATATGCTAGCTTAGCTTTAGCCTCAGGCAGTCGGGGACTGAGAATTCAATTAAAGATCTTATTGTCTAGCAAAAAAAAAATGATAATAATAATAATAAAAAGACAAAGACATGTCATGAATAGAATGTACTATATATGTTTATTTGCACGATGGGTAGATGGAACTACCAGACATATATACTTCCAAAAACAAGTCATTCAAACAGTCAACAAATCATATATGGCAGAGAGTTTATAGGAATAATTCTGCATTTTTTGAAAAAGACATGGATATCTTTCTTTTTCTGTTTTATTAATTATATTCTAGAATATAACCACATATACTGTTTTGCATATTGAAATCCATGAAGAAAGATTATTTTCAATTAATCATCTAAGTATGAAAGAACCAAACAGATGGTCACATGCAACTATATACAGTACTATAAGCTATATGTTTCTTGATAGAGCTATTTACAGGGCAATCGTAAAGACATATAGTTGAATGCATATGCATGCATGCATGCATATATATAGATATATACAAGTATATGTGAGTGTACGTACATCTAATGTGTATGCAAGACTTAAAAAATTGTAAACATAAAAACTTGTATGTATGTATTAGTAATGGACAATGGGCCTGGGATTGCAGGCATGGATATATCATAATAATGAGTCTTGCAGCAGGTTTCTGATTTGAATTTACTTCACCCATAAAAATCGAGTTGGCAGATCTTGCAAAAATAATGTAGAGATTATGGTGAGCTGGCATAGACAATTTGACAGATATTTGAAATTTCTTTTTCCCAAATAACAGATCACGAATAAGGGATAACAATAGATCATAAGATCCTTTTGGCATATATGGGTTGGCTGTCATGCCATACTAGCTTTACCCATCATGCAAGTTAACTCATGAAACACTTGACATAGAGATAAAATGCTTGTACATATCTAACTATCATCTAAGTTAGTATGATGCTCCATAGTTTCTAATTTACTATATTTCTAGATAACCATTCTCAATTATGGACAAACTAAATTAATAGAATACATGTATACATTGGCAGACAGTGCCCGCCACTCCTATGCTATCCCAAGTAGATCAACATATATGAAAAGGCTAATGTATAGTTGTAATGAATTATCTATCGTATGATTAGAATATTGCTAAGAGACATCCCCTTTATTGCAATCCCATGAACACAAACTCAAATATCTAGTCATAGATTAGATTTTTTTAAGTTAATTAGTATTACTTGAATACGATCATGTCCTTCTGTTATTAATAACAATGGAATTTCTTTGAGCATTTAATGATTATGCAATATGTATAAGGCACATTGTATCTCCAGCTAGATGAGAGTTCATGGATTAGATAAAAGCTTACCCGAGACAAGAAAAAAAAAAGTACAAAATATTTGCACTGAGTACACTCATCAGCGAAGTTCATGTATCCAGATGGTTCTAAGAATTCTTAGAAGATAGTCCATTGTTTCCAAGCTGAAAGTTTCGGAGAGTGAAAATTTGTTCATATTAAAATACAATAATTAATACAGTGACTTTATAAGTTAACTTACCGTAAAAGTACTGATACAGATAGCTACCGTCCAAGTTATGTGCCTGCATCCAACTCTAGCAGTTTCATTTGGACTGCAAGAGGAAGCGATGCAATGCTGCAAAGAAGTCTTATTAGGAGAAAAGTTGATCATGAGGATGAGCATTGCCTTTATATATACATATGTTCCCCAAAGGAAAAAGAGTCTGTTAAAGGATGTTAAACATTTTCTGATTCCAACTAAGTTCCTTAAAAATCCCAACGCTGCAATAAGTGGATATCACACATTATATACAGATCAGATTGGACAAAAACAAGTCCATTGCTCAAATTAGAAGTCAGATCAAGTCAATGCCAATTGTAATGAACCGATGATCAATCCCTTTCTAGCATAAATACAAAGTTACATTGTTGTGTCACTAACTTTAGCTAGTTTCTGTTGCAGCCCGGATAGATTGAAGCTCGTTGGATCATTGACCTGTGAAGTGAAATAGATAAGTAAACCGAGGGTGTTTTCCTTATTCCTTTGCGTAACAGCTTTAAAGTAGGAAGCAAACTCTAAAATTATTAGGGAAAGAAATCACCTCGGTTTGGATAGTATGAAGTAAATATTCTTCTGATTTGGTGGAGATACAACTAACAACAGGAAGTCCTTCATCAACAAGTGCAGCTAATACTCTTGATAGGGGCAAACCTTGCTCCTCAAAGCCACAACGAAACATAATCTCGATACCGATCAAGCAGGGTCGGATTATGAAGCACTGGTTTGAAGATTCGGTTTCTGAGCCAAGAGCAGCCAAATTGGACGCTCTCTTCAGTTCATCTCTCTTAACATCAAGGTCTTTGACCTTCTTCTCTAGGTGTTTTATATAATTCACCGCCTCGTTCATGTGATCCGACATCGAACGCTTTCCCTGAAACCCACCACATCAAAAGCAAATAACTCTAAGCATTATTTTTTTTTTTTGTTTTGAAGGGCAACTCTAAGCCATTATTATCGCTTCTTTCCGGGATGAATTCAACCCGAAGGCACAAAAATCTAAGTGAAAATTGTTAAGCTCTTCTACAATCCACACAAATCTGCATGTGCACAGTGATGAGGAAGAGAAAGGAGTTTTCAAGAAATTGGATGAGAAGGGCAAAGGAAAAACTAGGGTGTAACAATTTGTTCACAAAAATGAAACAACCCCATGAAATTTGTCTTGATTTATGAGCAAGTATATATACATATATATATATATATATATACATACATATCCTTTTTACCTTGATATATTCCCCAGGGAGAAGAGATCGAAGTGACGCATAAAGGGAAGCCATATCTTGCCTCCTTTGGCGTTCAATCTCCCTATGCAACTTCTGTTTCTTATATTTATCACAAGTAAACGCTTGAGTACTAGTACTCTCCATATGACAGACTTTCCGCCTCTGGCTTTGCCCCATGCTGTTGCCAATTATAGGAATGGGAGTGCCTTCCAGTGAGGCATGATCCCTAATCAGATCTTGTGGGATTTTGTGTTGGTTAGAATTCGAGAAAATCTGGTAGACCATGTCATCGCTTTGTTGTAAAGGAAACATTGAGCAAAGGTTATTATTCAGAAATTCCAGCTTTTGTCCTCTGAAAAAAAAAATAATGGTGGTTATATTAAGGGCTGGGAGCTTGAAGAAGGAGATTATACGTCTGTTAGGGTATGTATATTGTGATAATATTCAATGGGGCTAAAGATTCTCTCTGCAAAAATTTTCTTCAAATAAACAAAAGCTGATATGAGAAATGACCTCACCGGCCATTGTTAAAAAGTATGGGTTTTCAAGTTTTAGGTACTGTAGCCTTGCACAAAAGTAACCCCACTTACTTGCATTCACACAAGGGGTACCAATGTTTACCGTCCGATCTTTATCACAACTGATTAAAAATATTTCGAAAGCTGAATGGAAGATGATGGCAAAGATTTAATTAAATAATTAACAAGTACTTCCCAGTTGACTTTATATATAATTTCTAATGTAATTTACATTTTTTCCAACACATGTAGTATATTACACCAATTATTCACCTCTTTCTGATTCAATAATAAATTTTTTCCCTCGTGTTATTGGAGTTTATTGTTTGAGGGAGAGAATATTATACATATATATATATATATATATATATGGGCTCTTTCTTCCATTTCCCCGGTTATTTAATTTGTAGAAATTAAGTTTCTGATTACATATATAGCGAGCATAGTATAATTACGTAGTTCATTCATTCATTTTTGCACAGGCGTTACCTATAATTACTCCTTTGTTAATTTTGGAATGAAACAAGACAATCTGATATTCTCTCAACTTTATCAGGTCTTAAAAAAGTAATGAACTAATCATGCCATGGTAGAGCGCATACGCCAATTAAATGGTCGGGAAAAGAAGGGAAAGTAGCCAACACCCACCAACAGTATCGAGGGGAAGATCTCCGGAATATAAGAAGTAAGCCCCTGTTTCCCTAGTTTATTCTATAGCCAATGTACATGAGCTGGACGAGAAGCTGTTAGCCTTCATTATTTCCATTAATTATACATGGCACTAATTCCCGGCTTGTTCCTTGACAGACGAAGTTTGGAGGTTAAACATTAAAAGTACTAATTTTGTATTGATCTTAGCTTGAAGTAGTTTACAAGAATAGTAAGAAGGAGAAAAACAAGGTCATATGACACATTATATCTATGTAGATTGATATTTTGAACATTAATTGTTTAACAGGACTTTGGTCCTAACTCTTGCTCTTAGCCGAAATGCCAGATCATCCTACCAAATATGTGCTACGCTGAGTCCTAGATTAAGGACATGTAACAGGTAAGGTGGGGGCTGCATCCTATCCTTTCTAATCATTTTTTAAGGGCAGCATATCCTTCCCAAATCTCCATTAACTAATCCCAACAATCAATGACTTCAAATCTGGAGGACGAAGCAGACCGCCAACATTTCCATTATAAGCATTACCCTACTGGATAATTTCTCCCCTAACCCTACATTATTGGAAGTGTAGACTGACTGGTTAACCTTTTCAGCATATGCTTTGGTGTAAGAAAATATTAAATGATAAGAATTATTGAGCCCACGTGACCCATTCAAGCAATTATATATACTATATTGTTTATTTTATTGGTATAATAATGATGAATTTCCTTTGGAAATAAAATAAATCTTGAATACATTAAACAACTATGATGAAGCATTATGAATAGATGGTAATTTGGACTGGTACATTAATGTCATCTCCGGTTGGCTTTATTCTTCTTCTTGTTTTCCTTTTTTTTTTATTTGTTTTGTTCCAAAAGTTGATTGCGATATACAAAACTAATCATTAAAAAATTGACCCAAAAATTAGTAGGAATAATTGTTTTTTTTTCTCTCCCAAATTTAGACAGGTTTAATTATTGCTGCAATTGTGGAGTTTACTTTAACTAGTTCGTACAAAATGAAAGGAAATATATAGATAAGAAAACGTTTATAACAGAATAAATTAGAAATGAAAAAAGATTAAATTTGTTATGGCATTCTTAGTATTTCTTTAGACACAAAAGGCATTTCAGTTTTTTTTTTTTTGTGTATTACACGGTTTCATTCTAAATAAATAAAAGAAAAAGGCAATCATGTGAAAATGCAAGTGTGGTCGCCAAGGACAAAAACAAAGGAGAGGATTAGGAAATGAAGAAGCAGCTAGCGGCGGCCACCGTAGAAAAACAATGTAGCAGCTAGCTAAGTTCCTCGCTGATTTTATTGGATTATAAAACCAGATTGTGTGGTGATCTTATGGTCAAGAACAAATTGAACCAACTGATTTCGAATCATTTGCTTTAGTATACGCTGACTCTGATTTGGTACGGCCATAGCTAATCCTAGGATTATAAATATGCATCAAACCAAGGAATCTTTGATACTTTAATACGTTAGTTGTTTTGCTTTTTTTTATCAAACAACTTGGACAGCAAAAGGAAAAACAAAAAATCAGCAAGACATTTTTAAGTTCGATGCTTTGTCTTGTTGGTTTGTTAATTGGACATCCGTTTTGTTTTGGTGTTATTTGGTCAGTAATATCCAATTAAACCAAAAGAAAAGGGAAATTGTCATGTATGGGGCAAACAAGCATTTCCTCCGTTGAAAACGAGGGGAGATCTTAAATGTTAATGGGCCTTCGCATCAACAGGGAACAGTATTCTAAGATCAATGGCTCAACGAGTGAAGCTTGGGATCCATTCTTTTTGTCATGTTGGATTGGGCTCAATTCCCAGCCCAAATTGAGGTGATACTGACGAAGAGTGTCTCAAGAAGTTTCCCGAGCTGTGCTGTTTAAGTTCCATCTCAATCAAGCTGGAAAAGCTAAAAGGAAAAATAGGTTCGGCAGTTGGTAGTTGAGAAGAGGCCTTTGTTATTCATTTGCGTGTCCAAAAATGCCTAGCCTTAAACACAATGTCAAATGCATTTTGATTTGATTTAAAAAGTGTTTTTCTATATACTTTGAGTAAATCGTGAAAACACTTTCAAGATATTTTTCAGAATTTTGCAGAAAAAAAAAAGGCTTTTGAGTTCATATGATCAAAATCGTCATTTATATTTTTCGATTACAAAATTAGTTCTTTAATTATTTAAATATTTTGAATTTAAAATTAAATTTTCGTTCATTTCAAAAAATAATAAAAATATAAAGAGTATATAATTATTTAATATTTAGTTTAAAGCAATTTTAAATGGTTAGAAAATTCAAACAATGTTTTTATGTACACATTTAGAATTAAATTTAAATTAAAAGTGAAAAAAAAATGACTCATTCTCTGTTTTGTTTTTCAACATCTTCTTTTAGATATTTTAACTTTTCACAACACTTTTTGTCATATAATAATATCAGATCACACGTTTTTTTTTAGGCGACAATTCTTTAAATCGTTTTTCAAATATATTTTTTTCAACTCCAACGTTTTCCGACCACAAAAATACCAACCTAAGCCGACAAGCGATAAAGTTGCATTAGCTTAGATAGTTCTGACTTCTGAGGCTATAGAAAATCTGGAATTTAACAAGCTGAATCAACAGCCTGACAAATCCATGTTAGACTTGGCATAGATTGCCCAATAAGCTAATATCCAAGGATAAAAGTCACAGTTATGTGGATAATAAGACCTACACTTCCCTCTACACTTCTCCATTCATGTCTTCAAAGAATCATCCCATCTGCTCCCCCTTACTACACCAAAATTCGGACTTTCCCAAATCTATTCCCATCAGCCTTTGCATGGAAGCTTCTCCCCAGTACCGCGTGTAACGTATGAACATTGACGATTGCTCCATATGGTAAATTAAATCAAACTGCAGCATACCAATTTCCAACTTTCCGGTTCTCTGATAAGACAGCACTACACTCTTGACAATCCTCTTGTCTTGGAAAACTGCACTGCTAACTAATGATGGAACTTCTACATTTGGTCAGGGCTAGCACTAGTCCCTCAATGCTGATTGCTTTACCAAAGGCTAAAATAGGATTAAACTCTATAATACTTACAATCCACGAGAAAATACAAGCACAACAAAAAAAAATTCGTATTCTTCCTATGATGAATGAAAAAAGATATGCATAAGCTGGATTTACAGTCGAGGGCATGATGACCAAGTACTCATGTTCCGGATACAATAATAAGAAAGCTACTATGATTTGATTTCACGATAATACAGTAGTAATTTCTTGGAATGGTGAGCAAGTTGAAACATGTACTAAACTAAATTGCGAGCTGCAAGTAAGTGCAACTCGAAATCAATTCTGCCGAACACTTTTATCATAAGGAATGCCTTTCTTTTCTCATGTGAATCTGTGTGAAAGCTGCAATCAAACTAGGATTCTTTATCAACCATTTAACCAAAATTAATACAATTCCAACTTTGTAAACTAGCAAATTTAATTGTGGATGGGATGAACACCCATCCTTTTACCATTCTCTAATTCAAGCATCAGATTTTTTCTTGCTGAATGGACCTGAAACTTAACAAGTCCTATTCTCTTACTGTAACATTTCAATTGCAGTGGCAGACTTAGGAAAAGGAAAGAAAAATGATAAAATCACATGCCAGTTAATATGCGATTTGCAGTTTTAGTCTTTATTGTCAAAACAATATCACTCACAGTTAATCAAACCATGAATGATAAAGTTTAGTTCCCCTTTAGTTTTCCAACCAGTGACCTTCAATGCGGCTCTTACAACTGTTCACACATAAACCTCACTTGTGGTCATTCCATGTGTAGGTAGGTGGTCAGCAACGCCTTAATTGTGCACAGAGGATTGTTAATAGGAAAAGTAGAAGTTAGCTGATTAAACACAACTCAAACACAAAGGGCCCCATTTGGAGAAAACTAATGAAATTGCCACATAACGGCCCCATTTGGAGAAATACGGGTTATAATTGACAAACCAAACCAGATGTCAATGCAATCTGAGAAACTGTAGAGAGAAAATCCGAGGGGTCAGTGTCTTGATTTGCATCTTCACAGTTTTCATACAGAAAGGCAACAAATAAGTGATCAATATATATGAATAAACTTGTAGACCAAACCAGTAATATCAACAAAAGTGCAAGTAAAAGAAAGTTGAAGACCATTTAATTTTAAATGGGAAAACAAGAACAATTACTATGATTTCTTTACAACGATCAATCTGAAAAGATGACGAAACAATGATTTACAGCAGTAAGCTACTGTTTGAGAAAATTTACCGCTGGGCACTGAAAACTCACCTCACCGGACCTTCTTACGTGCCTTAAATGGGAATCTTGATGGTGGTGAAGGGGAAAATTCAGTTGGTAGTTGAGGCGGCTCCGCCTCACCAGTGAGCATCTCCACAACCTCCTTCATGGAAGGCCGACGAGCAGGTGACTTTTGCAAACAAAGCAATGCAACCGTGATGCACAAAAGAGCCTGTTCCCTGTTCAGAGACTGTATACTCTGGTCAACCAAATCAAGGAGCTTTCCTGTTCGCGCAAGATGCCGTGCCCAAGAAATCAGATTGGCCCGCTGAAACTCCGACATAGGCGAGCCTGTAACCTGCAGGGGTCGCCGCCCTGCTATCAAAACCAACAGCAGAACCCCAAAACTGTAAACATCGACCTTCTCCGATAGATCCCCACCACCGCCATATTCAGGAGCAATGTAGCAAACGGTTCCTCTCATACTGGGTGTACTGCTGATACCACCACTCTTAGTAATCTCCCCACTGAATGAATCATAACTGTTCCGGCGAGCTCTCCACAATTCACCACTAAGCCCATCCCATAACCAATCCACACTACCAACACTACCTCTACTTCTACTTCTTTTATTCTTCTTCTTCTTCTCTGTAAACAATTCGTCATCAACCGGCCACCAATTCTCCCCACCACCATTATCATCACTATGGTACATCCCCAACTGTCTCTTCTTCTTCTT